AGACATAAATCTCTTCCCTGTGGAGTTTCAGTTTTCTGGCAGGGAAAGGGTGTTTCTCACAACACACTGTATGTGGGCACGTTGGGTGACTGTTCTGATGACCACGTCACGGGCCAAGAGTCTTAGACAGATCATTGCCTCACTAGCTTACGACTGTTACACAGTTCAACTAGAGAAGGGAACAGGATTCCCTAATAAAGACCAGTGGTTGCAGTCAGCATGTCAGTCAATGAATGCGCATCCCTGGAACAACGAAGTGAAAGGTGCAACTCTTTGACCTCTTGCCCCTGGGACCCTTTCTCCTCTTACCACAGTTCTGTCTCAGTTTCAGTCACATCATTATGTTTCCATTCTGTTTACCCTATCATAACTACACCAGTGCTGTGCAGAGCTGAGTCTTGTACACTGTTATTTATTTTGCCTTCCTGTACATCTTTTTATTTTTATAAGAAGTATGCTTATTTATTAACCTTTTTAAAGTGCATAATTCAGTGGTGTTTACATTCACAGTGTTGTACAACCACCCCATCTATTTAATTCCAAACATTTTCATCACCCTAAAATCAAACTCTGTGTCCATTAAGCAGTCTCTCCTTGCCTTTCCGCACCTGTTCACACCTAGCCTGTAGCAGATACCAGTCTGCTTCATGTCTGCAGACTAACCCATAATGGATATTTCATATGATACAAGCATACAATATAATATTTTTGTGTCTGGCTTCTTTCACTTAGCATTTCATTTTGAGGCTTATCCCTGTCTTAGTATCTTCATTCCTTTTTGTGGCTAAATAATATTCCATATAGGTACACTATATTTTGTTTTTCCACTCACCCATTCATGAGCATTTGGTTTTTTCTACCTTTTGGCTATTGTGAATAGTGCTAATATGAACAAAATTAATTATGTAGTCCAGGCTTGTCTCAAATTCCAGGTGATCTGCCTGCTTCGGCCTTTTGAATTCTGGGATTACAGGTGCGACCACAGCAGGCCAATCAATCTTGAAGGAGTCTCTCCTAAAATCTTCTGACTTGCTCCATTCTGAACTACTTATCCTGTAGTCCTCTGAGATCTTCACGGTGACCGTTCCTGGCATTCTCTATTCCTTCAGGTGAAGCCATTTCTTCTGGGCGATGTCTTCTTCCTTCTAACTGAAGAGTGTCCTTGAACATTCCCTGTGGCACAGTTCTTGTACACTTCTGCTGGTGACTCACTTTATTGCATACCTATACCCCCAGCTCTTTTCATGTTTTACTTTGACAAAGGATCTTGCTAGGTTGCCTAGGCTGAGCTTGAATTTGTATTCCTCTTGCCTCAGCTGGAACTTGCATTCCTCCTCCCAGATTTCTAGAATTACAGGTGTACACCACCACACCTGGATCTTTATTAGCTTTTATTTTTAGGAAAAAAATTCTATTGTATCTTCCTTCATAGTCCTTTTGCTTGATAGGTCTTCACATGGTTAGCCTTGGGCAGAAACATGAGGAGTCCTACTTGCTGCTTTCTGTACCTTAAGTCTCTATTCCTAAACTCTCTGGGGACTGACTTTTCACTGGGCCTTTTTCAGATGTGGGAGATAATTTTCTTTTACAAAGCAAAGGAAAATAACAAAGTGTCCTCATGTTTCACCCCTGCTCTGTGATTTTCCGCTTTGTAATGGGCCCAGGACCACTGGCTGTTCTGTTTCTCCATCTCTACTTACCTGTATACTCTTCACCTGTCTAAGCATACAAGGCAGGGAGAGCTCTGGCGACTTCTCTTTCCTGGTCCTTCATGTACACTGCTTCCCCAAGTTTAGAGGTGATTTGTGTCCTGATTTCATGGTGTCTGGCAAATAGTTTTAACTTAGATTTACAGAAAAAGTATAAATGGAGAGTTTCTGTATATTACCTTACCCGTTTCCCCCAGTGCCAGTGTCTTATACTACTGTGTAGTATATTTCTCTAAGACTTGCTACATTACTAATAATTAAATTCTGCTTTACCAGTTTTCCCACTAATGTCCTGCTTTGTTCCAGAATCCATAGATGGAGCTTTCTCTATTTTGGTTCTTTAGTTCATTGTCGCTGGCTTCCTATATGAGTGTTAAATATGCTCTTCCACCAATCCTGGGTGGCGTCACTCTGCACCATAGCCACACACACACCTCCTGCTCAGAGCTACGCGTGAATGTCCCGTGTGACAGGGGCACCAATAGAATCACTGAAAATAGTGGTTTTACACTTAATGATTGTCACAAAAACTCTAATAGCATTTTTATAAAATCTAATGCAAATGTTTGAGTACATTTTTGTTTGTTTGTTTGTTTTGAGACAAGGTCTCACTATGTAGCCCAGGCTGGTCTCAAACTCACAGTGATCCTCCTGCTCAGCCTCCTGAGTGCTGGGATTACCAGTGTGTGCCACCATGCCCAGCTAAATTTTGGTGTTTTTTTTTTTGTTTGTTTTTGAGACAGGGTCTCACTGTGTAGTTGAAACTGATCTGGACCCCACTAGGTAGCCCAGGCTGGTCTCAAACTCACAGCGATCCTCCTGCCTCAGCCTCCCAAGTGCTGGGATTATAGGCTTGTGCCAGCACACGCAAACCTTTTTTTTTTTTCTGTACTGGAGATCAAACTCGGGTCCTTGTGCTTGTGAGGCAGGCGGCAGAACCACTGAGCTAAAGTCCAGGCTGAGTACATTTTTATACCTTTTAACTTCCATGCTTAGTTGTACATTTCCTCAAAATATGAAGTCCTCTGTGGAAGTGATTCTAGACCTTCAGAACTGTGAACTTCCTGAAATAATGATATGTTATGTTTCAGTGGTATGTGATCATGTGATTGAAAACTGCTTTGAACAAGAATCACTCAGTGTAAATTCTCCAGATAGCTACCAATCACCTTTTATGTGCAAGGTGTAGAAAGGGGCACCACGAGGTGTCCAGGCTGGTCTCGAACTCGCAGCAGTCCTCCTGCCTCAGCCTCCCAAATGCTGGGATTACAGGGATGCATCACCATGCCCAGCTCTTTATTTGTGAATTTAAAAAAGACATTAAGGAGGCTGGGCATGGTGGCGCACACCTGTAATCCCAGCACTGGGAGGCTGAGTCAAGGAAGATCGCTGTGAGTTAAAGGCCAGTCTGGGTTACATAGTGAGTTCCAGGTCAGGCTCAACTACATAGTGAGACCCTGTCTCAAAAAAACCCCCAAAACAAACAAATAAACAAAACCCCCAAAAGGATTACATCCTTTCAGGTCATGTCTCCAGGGATCCACCCCTCCAGGTACACCCACCTCTGAATTTGAGACTAGTAGGGAACATTTTAGATATAAACCATAACACAAACAACACCTAATTTTTAAAAAAAACATGGAGGGCCCGAGATTTAGCTCAGTAGTTCTGCTGCCTGCCTCAAGTGCAAGGTCCTGAGTTTGATCTCTGGTACCAAAATAAATAAATAAATAAAAATGAAAGAACAACATGGAGATCTTTTGTGGTTTGTAAATGGTGATTGTGTGAGATGTGCCTCCCTCAGACCTCATCCCATATGTCTGTGCATTACCCATCTGACATAAAAAATGACACTGAAGAAGAAAGTTTGCGGACATATTAATAGCTTATTGTTGGAAGGAGGAAATATAACCTTTCTGCATCATACGTGTATGATAACAAGCATGTGATAGAGAACAAAGGACAGAGGCTATGCATGGTGATTTTGGCAGGGCCTTCTTGCTCTAGACTCTGGCTCTGATTCCCTGGACAGTGCTCACATGTGTATCATACCAGAACACACATACACTTGCAGATGTTTACAGATGATCTATTTCCAGCACTCCTTTCCTCCCCAGTCAGCATAAGTTTTCAACTGTGGACTGTGTTTAGAAGATGTTTGTTTGTTTCCAATGATAATATGATGCCCTCTCTCTTAGGCAGATTTTGATTTAATAAAGAATTTTATTTTTCAAAGGAAACCACAAGTGAAAGCAAGCTTGATGATCCCACAGCAATTAATTCTTTAATATGCCAGGTAAGAACCTAGGGGTTGGCCCACGGTGTTGTATGTGTTTGTAAAGATATTTGTAGGTAGAAATTTGAAAAGAAAAAAATATGTGTGATTGTCTAAAGAGCTCCTGGAGAGGAAAGACATCAGAATGGAGAGTATAGTACTGTGTATGAGAGAAAGCTAGGTTCCTGTGGGCTCTCCAGATTGAATCAAAGGTAATCAGTGTGTCTCAGATGCAAATCATGCAGCAGGCTTCTCTCCTGAGACAGCCCCACCGACCCCCATACCAGGGATCAAACTCAGGACCTTGTGCTTGTGAGGCAGGTGTGGCACCACTGAACTAAATACCTGGCTCTTCTCCTGAGACTTTTAAGTGGGAGATTGCAGGATTCCTTAGAGTTCCTAAGAAGCACACATTCTGTCAAGGAGAGTGCTTGAGCAAATGCTTCCCACTTTCTGATTTTGTGGAAAAACTAGGGGGAGGATCCCAAACTGGCAGCTAGCCATAGAAGGTCCCGATTCAACCATGATGGACAAGCACCGTCATGGGGCAAGAAGAGTAGGGATTGAGGTTGAGAAGTGACTATGGATCTTCCTTCTTTCCGCAGAGGTGGCACAGGGGGAGCCCCATGGTTTCAAGAGGCGAACAATCTGAGTGAGCACCTGAGAGCCGCCTGAACCAGTGCCCTTTTCCGCCACTTGTTGCTTGAGAGCCCTTCCAGCCTCCTCACTGACCACCTGCTGTGGTGTGACTTGGCCCTTGTTGCCAAGTGCTGGAGCCGCCCTGTGCAGGATCCCCCGACATTGCCTGAGGTCTTGGCCAACTTGGTACTCTGTCATGAGTGTGGAGGGTGAAGCTGGCAGTGGGAAGACTGTTCTCGTCTGGGCATCAGGATGCTGTTCCCTGTCAAACAGGTTCCAGCTGGTTTTCTACCTGTCCCTCAGTCCCACCAGCTCAGACCAGGGGCTGGTCCAGATCATCTGTGACCAACTCCTAGTGCCAGAAGGAACTGTGAGTGAAATGAGCCTGAGGAACGTCATCTGGCAGTTGGAGAACCAGGTCTTATTCCTGCTGGATGACTGCAGAGCAAGGGGCTCAGCCCCCCGGAGTCATAGAAACACTTTTCCAGAGCAGCCACTTGTCATGGACTTGCCGATTAATTGCTGTCCCGTACAAATGGGCAGAGACTTCTGCTGACACCCAAATACAATTCTGAGGTCAAGGGGTTTCCCTTTTACAGCACCCTTTCTATATTATGGCGGCTTTTCCCACAAACCCTGCCCCGGCTTTGGAAGCTCATGGTGCATTTTGGGAAGAACATGTACCTGCAGGGGATTCACAAAATGCCTCTCTGTGGCGGCAGTCTGTGTTTCGGTACCCTTTGCTCAGTCTTTCGACCGTATGGCTGTTTTCAAGGCCTACATGGGATACCTTTTCTTACAGCATAAAACTCCAGATGAGCTTTTCAGAGCAACTGTGTCCTGCTGTGGGAGCTGGCCCTGAAAAGGTTTTTTCATCTCATTTCGAGTTTAGTGCTGATGACCTTGAAGAAGCAGGGGTTGATGGAGATGAGGATCTCACCATATGCTTGATGAGCAGCTTCACAGTCCAGAGACTAAGACCCGTCTTTCAGTTTTTAAATCCTGCAATTTCAGGAATTTCTTGCTGGGAAGAGGCTGAGTGAACTGCTGGATTCAGATAGGCAGGAAGATCAAGATTTGGGACTTTATTGTTTGAAACAAATTAACTCACCCATGCTGGCTGTAAGCTCCTATTATAACTTTGAAAAATATGTCTGCAGCTACTCTTCAACAAAGGTGGGGCCAAAGATGGTTTCTGATTTGCTTCATTTGGCAGATAGTAAACAGTCATTGGAAGATCCGCCCAGAAATGGTGACTCCCCAAAGCATGAAGAGGAAATCCCACTGCATACACAGGCTACTGTAGCAGCTGTGTCCAGAACAGTGCTTTGTGCTATCAGAATTTTTACTGGATTTTGCCCTAACGATTGCTTATGAAAGCAATACTATTGCTACATGTGTTCCGTTTATTTCACAATACCTACAAGGGAGATCCCTGCCATTGAAGGTACTTAACTCACAGTACTTCTTTGACTATGCAGAAAGCCTCCTAGTGCTGTGGAGTTTCACAGTCTCGCTAAAAGGCATTAAGCTGAGATGCATACCAGATAGTAATATCTTGGAAAGATGTTTAGACAGACCCCAGGCACCAACAGTAGATCAGGACTATGCTTTTGCCTTTGAAACTCTCAAACGGGTACAGGATTTAGTGGAGAAAGAAAAGACCATCAAGAGTTACCTGAATCTAAAGTTTGCCAGCTGCCAGACATCAGTGGCAGCTTCTGGAAACTCTGAAGCTGCACAAGCTTCCCCTGCTGCAAGTCCACATTGCCAATGAGAACGTAATGATCCCTGAGGTGCTCTCAGTGCTGACAACTGTCTTCTCCACCTTCCAAGACATTGAACTCTATGTGAAGGGCAGCAGCAGCTTCATGGAGAGCATCCGCCCTGCACTGGAGCTGAACGAAGTGGTTGTCACCAAGTGCACCCTGTGCAGTGTCCACCTCAACACAGCAGAACAGGAGCTGCTGCTCGCCCTGCTGGCCCTGCAGTCTCTCAATATCTCGTGTTCGGTCCAATTACAAGGTAGCCTGATGTACTTTGGAGCACTATTCTGATGTGACATTTTATTTTCTCTTTTAGCTTTAAGTAACGTATGTTTCTAAAGCCATAGCTCATAAATGCTCCTTGATAGAAATATAAAATAAACTTTCACTCACTTGGGAGGGCTATTAGTATAAATGAATGAAAGGCCCCTGAATAATAGAATGGTTTTCAAATAACTCAGATTGTTTGAATCTGAGCATCTCCTGGTTAATAAAATTAATAAAAAGTGAATATCAATAATTAAGGCCCCTTAGTAAGTAGACATGCATTTACTTGTTCTTAGTAAATAATGATCTATTTGTAGATGATGTTTGAAAATTTCTCCTGTCCCACTTGCCTATTAGGCTTGGCTTCTTTGAGAGATAATGTCTGAATGATGTAGAGCATCTTTTCATGTACTCATATTATTATTTGTTTTTTGTTTTTTGAGACAGGTCTGACCCTGTAGTTGAGATTGACCTGGAACTCATTATGTAGCCCAGGCTGGTCTCAAACTCACAGCAATCCTCTTGCCTCAGCCTCCCGAGTGCTGGGATTACAGGTGTGCGCCACCACACACCGTTTATCTGCCTTAATTCTCCTTGAGCTTCTTCCAGTTCCCCTTGACCCTCATTTGGGCTCATTTTAAAGCCCTCTTGAAGCATTCTAAGTGCCCAAAGTGGTGAACAATGCAGTTGGAGTGTGGTGTGCGCGCCTCCTGGGGTTGACTGTGGTGGTGATAGGCACAGGGTCATGAGGGGCAAAGCAAGCATAGCTCCTGCCAACACAGTCAGTCTGTGTACTCATCGCTACAATGGCCACTGTG